GGGGGGGGTCGGACATCGTCTACCAGATACCTTTGACCCAGTGTTGACGTCACATTTCAAAGAAGCCATGTGAAAAGCTTCACTGGGTCAGTCTACTGAGGAAGACCAGAATGACTGGTCAAAAGCTCTAGGTGAGAGAACTTTTGTGTTGAATCTAAAGTTTTAACTTCAAACCTGTTTACTTTTTCTTCTTCCTTCAAACACACTACAAGTAAAATTGCTACATATTATTAAACAACTGTCTTAATGCTTGATGATATGACCACAGTTGCTAGAATTACAGTTTTTACTGTATCATTTTCTACCTACCCATGTATTTGTTCCCCTCCAGCCCATTGACAATAGGGTTGAGCCAGGTTGAGCGCCGTGTCTCCTGCTGTGTCAGCCCCGTCCCACTCGGCACATAGATCTGGAACGCCACCTCAACCACCTCCTTCTTCTTCAGGGCATGGCCGACATTCGCAGGTGTCCCTGGAAAGATAAAATCCATGCACTTTTACAACAAGTAACCTATTGAAGAATCTAATTAAGATCTAACCAGATACAGTAAAATCACACCAAGTCAGTGTTGCATGCTAGTCTGTTGCCGATACATTTGTACATGCCACACTCCATGCCATATCTCACATGCAAGTACAGTCAAACCTGTCCAAGCCGGCCACCCAGGGGACCAAAGAAAAGTGGTCACCTTGGACAGGTGGTCTCCTCGAAGAGGGTTGCCTCACAACATGACTGAGACATAAATGGTTTCCAAGTCGAAATGTTTTAATGTCAAATGCTGTAAGCATCTTCAGTTCTGTGGTGAATGCATGTGGGGAGGGTGGCACATGGCACAATTTACATCAAACAAACATGGCCAGCTTGAAGAGGTGGTCACCTTGGCAGGTTTGACTGTACAAGTATTTGAAAATCACTGCACACCTTTCTAGAACATTACCATCTATGAGTCTGTATGTCATTGATAACATAACTTCAGTACTGCTGCTGTATTGCATGGTTGGTACAACATTATACAAATGTACACTGTATATGAAAAAGCCTTCATCTTGGACACAATTTCACAGTTCAATACACAGTTGTGTATAGGAAGAAAACAAGAACAAAACTGATCTATAGACATCAAACATAAAGACAGCATAGCTGTTTTTATACATTGTAAAACTGTTACATATGCTAGATGATGTTAAGATTTGTATTTCGAATGGGAACAGATAAAATTATACCTTTTGTGACAATGTCCCAGGCTTCGTGGATCTCCCGTTCTGAGGGGTGGTGTTCACAGTCCTTGAAGTATGAAGGCAGTTCGCTCACCTCTATCTCATTCCAGAACTGTCGTTTGTTGAACATTTTCTCATATTCTGTGTGGCACAGACACCAAAAACCTTACAAGTGGAGCCTAAATTTTTTCATATCATGAACAAACTGCAAGCTGATGTTTCAATGTTTTTATAACTAAAATGTTCCTATACATGTAGTTGTGTTTATCATGTAAATAGGAAAGTGATGTTACAGTAACAGTCCTATATTATTGTAGTTCTTCAAAAACAAGCTGGAAAAAAAAGGAACTGCGTTACTCCAGTTCTTACTATTTTTCCTGTCCAGAAACTCCTCCAGTTGGCTGTAGATGAGTGGGATGGTTGGACGGTTCACCCCGTGTCTTGTCATGATGCGGTTCAGCATCTGTCGGTACATCTTCACACAAGCCGTGAAGCTGTCTGCATGTTTCTTTGCCTGGTGAGAAAAGAATATATAATGTAACATGATTGACTGCAAAAAGTGTTATAAAATAGTGTACTCTAGAGTATACTACTCGTGGGGTGTGGCATAAATGGTAAGCGTGTTCGGATCTAGGACCAAGAGGTTGCAGGTTCGAATCCTATAGTAGTACCATGTCACCGATCTTGTGCCCTTGGGAAAGGCACTTTACACGATTTTCCTCACTTCACTCAGGTGCAAATGATTACCTAGCTTTGGTCAAGGGTGTCCCTTTGATAGGACATTAAATGGAGGTCCCGTGTTTGGGGAGAGCCACACCCCGCAAGCCAAAAAAAATCCACCGCACGTATCGAAAAGAGTAGGGGTCCTTCCCGGTGTGAGTGGTTCAAACCTTACAGTCACAGCTTGTACTTTCATGTACAAAACTGGTGTGTTATGCCTAAAGGCGGTTCACCAGTTATGCGAAAAAGAACCAAACCCAAAAAAATTAACTGTTAAACTTCGCCCCTGTTAAACAGCAAAATTCGCCCCTCAAAATGCTCACTCCCCTAGTATTTTTGCATTCGACACTTCAGATGGTATTACATCAAACGAAATTTTGATGACGGAAAAAAATTTGCTGATGTCCAGTATCAGAAATCATTGAAAATCAATCCACTGACCTTGTCTTGTAGTCTGTGGTATCTCTTCCTGACCAGCCAGCCCCGGATGTGACGTTGGATACATATTGCTGCCTTCTTCACCTCAGCTTTGGTTGGCCCTGTGCGTTTTGGATGGAAGGCCTCGTACATCTCCACATGTGGGCCTATCCTGGCTATCATTGCAGCAGCCTCACGGTTTTCTTCCAGTAACCTAAACATAAACAGTCTTATCCATGTGGAGCAAAAGAAATGACTACAGAATATAGTTATAATTTATTACTAGTTTTAAATTATTATTAGTTTAAGAAAAAGCTTCTGGTTCTGAAATCTGAATCAACTCAAATATGCCCAAATTTTACCCCCAACAGTTGAGGAAAGTCTTAATTTCTTTCAAGTTGTTACAATTTTTCCATCTATCGATGCAGTAGTTTGATTAAAAGTTCAAAATTCAAAGCCTTTTGTGTTGACTTCATGGCTCCTATCATAGCATTTGGGGCTATAATATGATGCCTAGACCTGTTTTTATTTTTGTATTTTTTTTATAGCCATGTTGCTTCATATTTTTTCTGAAAAAATCCGTCGAGAACCAACAAATTAAATTGGTGTGGCCTTAAATATGTAAGCCATAGCGAAGACACATTGCACAAGTACATGTATATAGCTGCTTGAAAAAGCATAATTATTTTTTATAATAGTGCTTCAACCGTGTTGAGGATGACTAAACAACCAACATGAATGACTTAGGGACAAAATGTTTGGCTGAATATTATCATCTCTTACTGCTGTTTGCCTTTTTCCCATCTTTTCTGTTTCTCCCACATCTTGTTCTGGGAGTCCTCTTCATACTGCCGTGCAAAGTGCTCCGTTTCCTCCCGCAACTTCCCAGGCTGGGCCTCGATTGTCCTGAGCCGAGCCCTGTGCTGCCGGTATGCCCTGGAAAAGTCACCATAAAAATTCTGAATATAACAGATTACCTAGTAAGTTTATTGTACGTTCATGCCCTATCAGGCTAAGCACAGGTAAACAGATGAAAAGGTACATGTACATGTTTGTAGTACAAACAGGACTACTGATACTAATCCAATAACATTAGCTCTAAAACTACTCACTAGAGCTTTGGCTTCTTGTTTCTTTGTGATGTTAAAAAATAATGTAACTGTAATATCTGACAGTTAACTTTGACCCAAATGGTAAACATTTCATAAAATTGTAGTTTTTGAAGTTATGATGATGGAAGTGTTCAAGTATAGTAGTAGTGAGGCATTTGTCGGTCTTAAAAGACCATGAAGTACATCATTCTACATATAGTAAAGTATTCTACATACACAAGTATATTAAATCTCATAGTAAATATCATATGGACAATACATGTGTACATACGAAATTGGCATAAGATACCGGGTACATGTAGTACCGGGTATATGTGGTACCATTTATTTATTTATTTATTTATTACCATTAGGACATACAAGCAGGAACTCTCACCTCTGTATGTGAAGTGCTGCCTCTCTCTTGTCCGTCTCGTCCAACTTGTGCAGGAAATGTTTGTAGTAGTTGCGTACTCTGTACCCACGGAATATCCTCTGGATGTCCACAGCAGCTTTTGTCTCCTGCTGTCTCTTCACCGCCTGTTGTAACTGGTCATATTCCGGCGGTGCTCCGTACATTGGGATTGGTCTCCCCCCTTGCGTTCTTCTCTCAGTGGACTGGTCCACGGGTTTCTTTTTCCCAACAAACTTTGGCGAGTCTGTTTCAGGTTTTTCTGTGGCGTAGGATTCTGTATCTGATTCCTGGTCGTTTAGTTCCTTCGATACATGCTTTGGAGACTCTGGCCTGCTGTCTTCAGGTGTTTGCGATGCTGTCTTGTCAGGAGACAGGTCGGCCCTCAGACGTTGGCCGTAAGATGACTTGGGTCTCTTCCTTTGTCCGGTAATTACCTGTATGACGGGCTGTCCGGGGGTGGACTCCCCACTCTTTGAGGCACTCTCTGAGCTTCCATTGTCATCGAAGATGCCTAGGTCCTCGTCTTCGTCAAAATCTGACATAACTCTACCTCTAACCGAGGCTGATGAGGGCTTAGAGCCTGACCTAGCTGATCGAGACGACTGTCTGGATTGTCTTCCGCTCTGAGCTGACTTTGGTCGTGGAGACGGGATAACCCTTGAGACCTTCGGCTCTAAGTCGGGTTCGAATATTCCCGTAGCCAGGAATTGTCCTTTTGTAAAGATAATCTCACTACTGGCACTGTCCTGTCTGCTGTCAGATCTGTCCATCCGCAAGCCAGCCAGTTCTGTAGTCTGTGGAGGGGAGGGCGGCTCGCTTTTTTCTCCGACAGACTCTTCCCTTATAACACCCA